TTCTGAGGAAGTGCCACAGTTTTCCATAGCAGTTGACCCATTTTACAGTCCTATCAGAAGCTGGATAAGGGTTCCAGTCTCCCCACATTCTCACCAGCATTTTTTTTTTTTTTAAATTTCTGCCATTTGCGCAGTGGTGAAATGCTACAGAAGAGTGTAAACTCTCTTCTGACACACATAGGGTCATCACAAATTGGAATCAACTGTGGCAACTGCGTGTGTGTGTGTTTAAGTCTTACTGGCATTGAGTTAATATTTGCTTTGGGTCAAGGTTGGAGGCTGGTTTGTGTTTCGGAGGTATATAGCTGGTTTTTGGGTTTTTAAAGAGTAGACTTGAGAGCACTTTCAGGTTTTTGGAAATCTGTAGAGAAGCTGCAGAGAACTCCTGTGTGCCTTGTTCCCCCCCCCACCCCTGCTCCTGTTTCTCCTGTTAACATCCTACATTAGTCCCCATTGGTCAGAGCCATTGATGAACCAATGATTGGTACATTATTAAAGTCCACAGTTTACCTCAGGGTTCAGTTTTTGTGACATACACACCTGTGGATTTTGACAAATGCTTTATGTCACGTGTCCAACAAGACAGTATCATACAGATAAGTCTACTACCCTAAAAATGCTGTTTTACTGAGTAGCATCCTTTCCTGTGTTCATAAACTGCTCTAACATGTGTCCTTCTCCACAGATGTGAAGGAATTCTTTGAGCACATTGAGCGAGAAAGGACCAAAGATCTGGACCACATGGTCAGGTGGTATCTTGCCATCGGGCCTCTGCTGACCAAAGTCGAGGGTCTGGTCATACAAACCAACACGGGCAAGGCCCCCAAGCTGGCCTCCTACTATGAATACTGGGAAAATAGGATTTATGAAGTTCTGACAAAGCTCATCCTGAAGTAAGTCCATCCTCCCATTGCGTGTCTTAAGAACACTTGGCTTGGATTGAGGGATTTTACATAGATGAATATGGGGGTGGGACCAGGCACAGAATGAAAATCAGGTGGACAGAAAGTCTGCTCTCTGGCTGAAGGGCACTGGTAGGATGGAGCGATGGCCTCCCACACAGGCCCATGTTCTTGTTACACCCCTCAGTGTTTAGCACCGGAAGTACTGTCAGAAAGCTATACGTGTGTCTGTGTTCAACTGACCACAGAGAATTGCTGTCACTCATACTTACAAACATCCTCACAACTGGATCAATAAGCAACATTGAGATATACAGAGAAAATACTGAAGTTGTCCAGGATTTTCTTCTCTTCCCACTCCTCACTTATCGACATGCTTAGGTTCCAAAGACCAGGTTGGTGTTAAGTGAGCATGGAGGACGACCACATCAATGACAAAATGGAGGATGATCGCATCATTACATAACTGCCACATAATATCATGGTGTAACTGGTAAATTACATCATTATGTAACTGCCAAATTATATTATGACATAACTGCCAAACAACTGAGAATCATGGCCCACCCAGGCTGACACAACCTTAATCATTACAGGTATTACTCTCACCTCAACTTTCATTACTGCCAGATGTACCTTGTTCGTAGGCAAAATAGTCAGATGGTAGATTTTATTTTATTTTTTTTACTATTGTCATAAATGCACAGTGTCAGATAACAAGGTGGTTGTGAGCAAGTGTACTTGGATCTACAATCAATGCCCATGGACAGAGTAGTTAAGAAATCAAATGACAAATTGCATTGGACACATCTGCTGGAAGAGACCTTTGAAGTGTTACAAAGCAAAGATGTCACTTTGAGGATTGAGGTGCACCTGACCCAGGCCATGGTATTTCGTTTGCCTCGTATGTATGCATGCGAAAGCTGGACAGTGACTAAGGAAGACTGAAGAATCGACGCCTTTGGATTTGGTGTTGGTGAAGAATATTGAATAGGCCATGAACTGCCAGAAGAAAGAACAGATTTGTCTTAGAGAAGTACAGCTGGTATCACTCCTTAGAAGACATGATGGTGAGACTTCTTACGTACTTTGGACATGTTGTCAGGAAGGACCGGTCCCTGGAGAAGGACATCGTGCATGTAACGTAGAGGGTCAGGGAAAAAGAGGAAGACCCTCACTGGATGGGTTAACACAGTGCCTGCAACAACGGGCTTAAACACAGCAATGACTGTGAGGATGGGGCAGGACTGGCTGTGTTTCATTCTGTTGTATGTGTGGTGGCTATGAGTTAGAATGAACAGCTCCTAACAACAGCAAAACATTACTCACCGAAGTCCCAGAGGACACCTGCTCTCTTGTTTAGAGAGGAGGATTTAAAGTTGCCATCCACTTTTCCTGATGTCTAAAGAAACCCCAGGCTAGATCATCAAACCCCAGGCTGTCACATCTTTGATCAAAGCCTGTGGTGTGTGCCGGGTACCGTGCTGGGCTCCAGCCTCAGACCCCGCCGACTCAGCCCCTTCCCTCCAAGAGTTCACAGGCCAGCAGCTCAGATGCACCACCCAGCAGGTGCGAACCTGGCCTTCACCACGTTGGTGGCCCCAGACTGCTCTGGGACGTGAAGCTGACAGCCTGTGAGATTCATGGCTCTTATGGTTCATCTGTGTCATCGAGGGTGACGTTCATGCCATCACACAGGGTGTGTTTCATGAAGGTCTTTGTTCCATGTTTTGGTGGTTTTGTTTTCAGATGCTATGGACACCACACATTGCTGATTTCAAAGCTTTCTGTTTTCTCTTTGGCTGCTCAGAGGCTCAGAAGCAAATGGGTAACCTAAGTGCAGCAAGTGTATACATATTTATGGCTTGTGTTTTTATTCTCATTCCTGTCTCTCTCAGTATGTATGTCCCTGGGTGGTGTGAATGGTTAACGTGGTCAACTGCTTACGGAAATGTTGGTAGTTCGACTCCATCCAGAGGCTCCTCAAAAGACAAGCCTGTGGCTCTGCCCCTGCAGGTCAGCCAGTGAAGACCCTGGGAGCACTGTGTCACTCTGCCACACCTGGGCCTCCGTGAGTGGGGCTGACTCTGGCTCAGTGGCAGCTGGTATATATATGTACGTATGTATGTGTGTATGTGTATGTATGTGTATAAAGGAGCACGAGAGAAAGCTACTCCACACCAGGCTCTGTGCTATACTTGTCACAGTTATCCTCATTTTACAGATAGAGACACTGAAGACTAGTGAGAGGCTGAGTGACTTGCCTAAGGCCACACAGCCAGTAAGAAGTAGAGCTGGCAACTGAACCTGAGCAGTCTGACTTCAGTAGCACTTCAGTGAACTGTTTCTGACCGTTGTCTCTTGCCTTTGTGATCACCCCCACTCTGATTTTAGCGTCAGTTAGTGCAGTGAACCACCACTCACCTGTCAGCGTGTCGTCACGGTGGCTCGCGTGTTGCCGTGAGGCTGGAAGCCATGCCACTGGTATCTCAGATCCCAGCAGGGTCCCCCATGGTGGACAGGTTTCAGTGGGGCTTCCAGACTAAGACAGACTCGGAAGAAGGAAGGGGCCACTTCTGAAAAATGTGGACCCTGAAACCCTTCTGAGTGGCAGGAAATGCTGTCTGATACAGTGCTGGAAGATGAGCCCTTCAGGCTGGGAGGCACTTGGGATATGCAGCAGCTGTGACCGTGGGCTCAAGCACGGCAACTGTTGTGAGCACGGGACAGGACCGGACAGTGTTTTGTTCTCTCGTACGTGGAGTCACGAAGAGTCGGGACCAACCAGACAGCACCCAACTACAACAGCACAGTTACTGTGTCCTTGTGAGCTTTGAAAGTCCACTTTGGAATGATAGATTGGTACAAAAAATAAAAATCATTTGCTTCTCTTGTTTTCACAATCATTAAGTTAATCTTTAAGAAATGTCTGCTTTCCATACATTTCGTTTATTTTCCGTTGTTGCATCGCTAGTCTCTTAAAGCAGCCGTTGATCTGGGGCTACCTCCTGCAGCCTTTCTCTTTCTAAGATGCCATACTTTCCCTTAGTTTCTTCATTCACCCATCCACATATTCAAAGGTATATTAGAGCCTGCTGTGGTCCAGGCACGGGACTAGACCCTAGAGAAGACGGCATAGACCAGGCTCCCTGGCACCTCGTGGAGCTTCCATCCTCACAGGGGGGAGAGAGAGAGGCACGAGACAAGGAGATGGCAGGTGATGATTTCAAGGAAGGAAAGCAAGCTGATATGTGGGGAGAGAACGGGGGCCATGGGAACTGGGCGGGCAGGAAGGGACACCTTGTAGCTGGGGCCTGAGGATGGGAAGTGAGCTGAAAAGGGGAGGAGCTGTCTGGGAGAGCTGAGAGCCAGTGGGAAGGCCACTTGGCCCATGAAGGGAACCGATAGATGCCAAGAGTAAAGGGGAGGGTAGGAGGTGACACTGGAGAGGCAGGAGTCAAATCACAGAGGCTGGCCCAGGGGAAGCTACTGGGATGTTTTCAGTTGCAGAGACAGACACGGGTTGCGTGTTTAGAAAACCTGTCAGACTGCTGCATGGAGTCATGGGGTGGGGTTGGGGGCAGAAAGGAGTCAGGGAGTCTGGTTTGGAGGCTAACAACTGCTTCATCCTTTGCCAGCTGTTTCTGGAAGGGGCAGAGGACTGGGGGGAGGCGAGGCAAGGACCCGAGTGCCCATTTTCATACAACCAGAGTTGAGCAACTTTCTAAAGTTACCACTTAAAACTTGGAGATCTTCCAACTAATAAGTATGAAATTTTCCCACAAGTAAAAAGGAACTATTTTTATACATTTGAGACGAAAACGACTATACAATAAAACTTGTCCTAAAATGTTCATTCCAACTCTGTGGTGTGATGTTCTGCATAGTAGGCCTTTGATGTGAGATCTTTGAGACTCAGTTAGTCTCCTTAATTGTTTGATGATCTCTCATGCGCCTAGTGAGTATCAGTCTCCTGTTTTCACCCCTGCTAGGAATTTGCAGTCTTTCAATTCTCTCATCCTGGGGAACGTCCCCTTGTTCCAGACGGAAACTATCTTGAGTGCCCCCGAGATCATCCTTCATCCTAACGCAAGCGAGATCGACAAAATGTGCGTCCACTGTGTCCGAAACTGCGTGGAGATCACCAAGGTAAGGCCCAAAACGTCTGTGTTGTCTCCCGGATGGTGTCTTGAGGTTGGGTGAGAACCCAGGTCCTGGTTCTGTTCTTTGTCACAGACTTTTAGTTTCTTCTTGGCTTCTCCTCTGGTAGATGACTAGATGGTGGAGTGGCTGAGGGCTTGATCCTGGCCCCCTTTCTTCTCTCTGTGTGTAAGCTGAACTAGTCTTGTGCCTTTTAATGCCACTTCTGTGGAGAAGACCTCCACCTTTCTATCTCTGACCCAGACAGCTCTGCCACAAACTACTGAGGTAGCCAGTTACTTACTTGGTGTCTCCCCTTGGACCTTAGACTCGCCATGTCTAAGATGGAATTCTTAACTTCCCTCCTTGCGGCCTGCTCCTGCCTCAGTTTTCCCCACTTCAGGAAATGGCACCAACCCCAACCCAACCCAACCCCAACCCAATCGCTTAGCCAAAAACCTGGGCGGCCTCTTTGCTTGCTTTCCCTCACCCACTGTGTCCAGCCCTTCAGTAAGTCTGATTGACTAGCCTCCCAAACACACTTCCGACCTGAACTCTTCTCTCCTTTTCTGCTTACCGTCCTCATTCACGGTGCTGTCGTCACTCACAGGGACTCTCACGGTTGTTTTGCTCCAGTCTGCTCCCCTGCACAAGCTATCAGAATGATCTTTTTAGGACATAAATCGTTTCATGACTTCCATTTCTCTTAGGCTATAATCCTGGTCTGCGAGGACCTCCACAGTCCAGCACCTGCCTGCCTTTCTGAGCTCGGTGGCTGCTCTGTCGTGCTCGACTTTCCTGCAGCTTCACTGGGCCTCTTTTTGTACGTCCAGCAGGTCACAGTAGCTCCTCCGTGGGAACCGGCGCAGCAGCTGCTCTGTCTGTATGACACTCGCCACTAGACCTTCTCACACCCAGCTCTGTCCGGTTATTACTCTCTGCCATAGCACCCTGTTTTCTTCCAGCATTTACCGCTATCTGACTTCTTCTTATTTATTTACTTGCTTATCTGTCTCTTGGGTATATCCCGCGCCAGCCCTGTGAGAACAAGGACCCTGTGGGTCTTGTTCATTTTTGAGTCCTCAGCACCTAGAACAGTATCTAGCACATAGCTGGCGCTTAGTAGAGGTTTGTTGAATGAACATTTGTTAGAAAATAAGGCAACGTTTCTGCCTCACCAGCAGTGGGAAAATAGGGCCATCTTTGTGGGTTAGGGACGTCACAGCCACTCAAGACGCTAATCACATCTCTGTCCTCACCTGCTTGTTCAGAAGGTCAGATATGGTTCAGACACTTCTCGAGCATGAACCTGAATGTGGTGGTGCTGTCAGGTGCTGGGGAGTCGCTTCCGACCCTTAGCAATGCTACACGCGTGAAGGGAAGCACCGCCTGGTCCTGCCCCGTCCTCACAGTCTGCGTGTAGATATTTCAAATGGGGAAGATGATTTCACTGTACTTGGAATTAGCGGATGAACAGTACATGGTCTGTTACCTGTGCTGACAGAGGTACTTAGGAAACCTCTATTGTATCAGTTCTCTTAGTATATGGGGGTGACAGCCCCGAGTCTTTGTACAAGAAAACCAAACAATTTCTAATGGGTGGATAAGTAGGATGGACAGTGTAAAATTTCATTTCACTTCAGTCTAACTCCCCCCACCATCAGGTAGATTCAAACTTTTGTATTTTATCTTCATAAATATTTTCTTTCAAATGAAAATAATTGTTACCAACCGTCTTGGGAAACGTAGGGAATGTACTTCATTCAGAAAAATCCCAGCCCATGAGCTCTGATGAGTAGATGATTCAGTACAGCTCAGCCAGAACATCCCTTTGACCTTCTGGACTTATCTTTCATGAGCAAAAGTTTAAAACCAGCATCTTGACGACCTCATCTAGGAAATGGAAACATTACTGCTCACCTTCTAGAGCTTCTGGGAGGATTGAATGGTGTCCGACCTGCAGGGAGTTTAGCACAGTGCTGCTGGTAGAAGCCCTAAATAAATGTTCGCTATCACCCAACCAAGGAGGGGTCGCTATGAGTTGGGTCCGACTCGACAGCACATAACAACAACAACAACATCATTGCAGGTACAGTCAAACCTGTGAAAGCCGGAACCAGCATAAGGCAGAGACCTGTCAGACAAGGAAAACACAGCCATTTTCCACTGATGTTGTTGTTGTTATGTACCGTTGAGTCAGACTCGACTCATAGTGACCCCTCTTTGGGTTTCCAAGGTGGTTATCACTACGGAAGTAGGTTGCCCAACCTTCCACTGATAGCGATAGAAAAGTGGTAAGACTATACACCCTGTCGCAGGGGGGAATCTTGCAAGGCTTGGAGCAACAAGGCAGTCCTGCTGGGTTCCAGCTCTCCCCAGTTTCACTGTAATGGTTAACTATTATTATTAGTATCCATAGGGAAGTGGTAGTTGTTGCTATCCCCACTTTATAGACGGGGAAACTGTGCTTCAGAGAAGTTATGTGGAGCTCAGTTGATGGTTTGCTATTTTGAACCACACTTGACTAGAAGAAGTCTTGACTATACAGTAGACAGGTGTTGAATTAGCAGATTTGTTCTGGGGCACTGGGCAGTCGGTTTACCTGGTTCTGTTTTTCCATCTGAAAATGTAGAAACTAATGTTGTTTGATCCACTCATGATATCGGGACTGGGTGGTCATTGTTACTTTGTCAATTAGCATTTCCTGTGTAACAAGCCACTTCCTATCTTTGTGATTTCCAACGATGGTTCTGTGGGCTGGGTTCTGCTGAGTGGTTCTTCTGGTCTTGGCTAGACTCATCCATGTGTCGTGGTCAGCTGCAGTTGAGGACTTCAGTCACACATCTGGTGGTTGGCTGGCTGTTGTTGAGGACTTCAGTCACACGTCTGGTGGTTGGCTGGCTGCAGTGAGGACTTCAGTCACACGTCTGGTGGTTGGCTGGCTGCAGTGAGGACTTCAGTCACACG